GTAGACGGCCCGGGTGAAGGCGGGGGCGTTGTCGTTGACGTCGGAGACCCGCACGGTGACGTGGTGCTGGGTCTTCAGCGGGGGAGTCCCCAGGTCGGTGGCGGTGATGGTGACGTTGTACTCGGCTCTGCTCTCTCTGTCCAGTGCTTTTTCCGAAACTAGAGTGTAAAAGTTCTTGAAGGTCAATTTCAGAAAAAAGGGGAGGTCATCTTGAATAGAGCAAATCACTCTCCCATTGTCCCCAGAATCTTGGTCTCGGACACTGAAAAGAGCCACTAGAGTCTCTGAGGCATTCTCTGGAATTGTCTTTGTAATTGACGACATGGTCACTTCCGGTGGGTTGTCGTTTATATCTATTACCTTAACTAGAAGGTTGCATTTTTCTGCAAGACCTCCACCATCTGTTGCCTGAATATTTATAGTGTAGGATTGTATTGCTTCAAAATCCAAGGCTGATCTCAAATTAATTTCCCCAGACATTGAATTGATTTCAAATGTCTTACGAATATTCTCCGATGCATAGAAAAATGTGTAAGATATTTCCCCATAATTTCCTGCATCCAAATCCTTCGCAGAGACAGTGATAATCCAGGAGCCAGGGAGTGTGTCCTCCTGGACCTGCACCTCGTAGAGACTCTGAGGAAACTCAGGGGGCATTATCATTGACGTCCAAGACCTTGATGATGACCAAAGTTGTTCCAGACTTGGGTGGGGACCCACCATCTAGTGCTGTGAGTGTTAATCTGAGTTCAGATTCTTCCTCGTGATCTAACGCTGTATCTAGGACCAGTTCTGGGTATATCTTTCTGTCACCACTGTCTCGAATTTTAATGTGGAAATGAGAATTGGAGCTAATTGTGTAGTTTTGGAGACTGTTGTTTCCAATGTCCAAGTCTTGAGCACTCTCTATTAGAAATGTGGTTCCAATAGCAGTACTTTCTGATATTTTAATAAGTATTTCCTTGTCCAGGAATGTAGGGGAGTGATCATTTATATCTTCGACATGCAGCTCAACCCAAAAAAACTGTAAAGGATTTTCCAATACCACCTGCAAATGCAGCACACAGGGCTCGGAGGAGCCGCACAGCTCTTCTCGGTCCAGTTTCTCATTTAAAAGCAAATCCCCAGTCAGCAAATCAAGATGCAAATGCTTTTCATTATCATCAGACACTACCCGGGCCTCCCGTGAAGACAACTCCTCAACCCCTAGTCCCAGGTCCCTTGCCAGATTAGTCACAAAAGAACCAATTTCTGTTTCCTCTGCCATAGAATAGTGTGTAGATTCAGTACCTCCCTGAGACAATTCCAGCAAAACAAAGAAAATCAGGACTTGCCTTTTCCACAGAGCGAGCGCCCCTCTGATCTCCATGGTTCCTTCTGGCAACTTCTTTTGTGGAAATTTTTAAGTTCAGTCCTAATTTTGAAAGCTGAAAATTTGATTGTTCAATAGGAATCCCCTGTAGAGGATATAACCTGCCAGCCTCTCTGAAGTGAAGCTCCTTTTTCCTGAATAACGAGCCCACCGCATCCGCTCATGTACTGTTTTCATCTTATCCTGTAGCGCCACCATGTGTTTCTATGACTCTTTTTCATTACAAAAAAATTCTTGAAGAAGTAGTTCATGAATACATCTGGAGTATTCAAAAGCAAATCCCAGACATTGTATATTTTTACCTCTAAATACTTCACTGTCTCTAATAGATAAGTCCTTTTAAAATGCAACTATAATACACTATCATAATCAAAACATCAGTAATTCCTTGATATAATTGTATACTCTGTGTTTGGTTTTTCTCAATTATCTCCAAAATGTATTTTACTGTTGGTGTGTTTGAATCAAAATCCAAACAAGGTCCATACACTGTCTTGAATTAATTATCACTATTTTGAATGCTTGACACAAAAGGATCTATTAAAATATCTTGTGCTGAAGAAACACTTTTTTTCTCAGGCTGTTTCTTGAGTAATTACAAATATATTCTGTCTTCCACTCTAGTAAATATTTGTTGTTGAGTTCAGTCAATTATAGTTAGTAATAGCATCACTTGTTAAACTTCTATATTTAAAAAATATACATATAAGGAAGAACATGGCACAAATAGGAGATAATCCTTGTTTTTATGAAGTGAATAGGGTAGAGAATTAGCCAACAAATAATTAAAATATATCATAATGTATTCACACCCAAGAGATATGTAGAAATACTAGAAGGGACTTCTTGTACTAGGAGGCTGCATAGCGTGGTGATTAGGAACATGAACTCTGGAACCAAAGTATCAACATGAGAATCCTGGTTCTGCCACACACTGTCTTGTAGACTTGGACAAGTCACATACCTCTATTTCCTCATCTGTAAAATAGGGTAATAGCTGTATTTACCTTCTAGGATTATTATCATAGGAACCTAATGAGTTAATAGTTACAAAGTGGCAAGGAATAGTTAATTATCTGTTGAAATAATTTAAATCTAACCCAGATCCTGGGATATCAGTGAAATGTTTCCTAATGCAGTGATTTACATTGTGATCTGAAGGAGCTAGCCAGGAGATGGAGAAATGTCTCAAATAGGCATTTTGAGGAACACAGAGAAGTTAAGTGTGCTTTGAACTTTAAACCATGGGAGGAGGAAATTTAAAAATGAGATTAGGAAAAAAAAAGATGAGAACATAAATGCTTATGGTTCCTCATATCATGCACTCTTGAACTTATCCTAAGGGCAATTCAAATACAATGTAGGATTTAAAATGTTTGATTAACATGTTCATATCTGCATTTCTGAAAAATCAACAGTAGGATGAGAAATTTAAAGTAAGACCGGTAAGCTGGGCTCGGTGGCTCAGCCTGTAATCCTGCACTTTTGGGAGGCTGAGGTGAGTGGAATGCCTGAGCCAGTGGGTTCGAGACCCGCCTGGGCAACTTGGCGAGACCTCATCTCTACAATAAATCAAAAATTAGCCAGGCGTGGTAGCACGCGCCTGTAGTTCTAGCT